CATTGAAGTCCCCTGTCCATTTGGCCTGAGTCGAAGCTGTGCTAGTTTGAAAATCATTCATTAGTTTTCGGGGATACTTTACATTATCCTCTGGGACATTTTCAAAATTTTCTCAAAAATGGCTCCACATTTTTTCTTTAAATTTCTTCTAAGATTATAGTAAAATACACTTAGAATGGTGGCATAGGTCCGATTTTCACGGTTAACTCCGAATTTTCGAAAATTTCAAAAGCCTGATTTTTTTCGGGGTTTTCCTACAACTTCAAAATTAAAGATAGAGATTTCTCATTGAAATGATATTTGTTGTCCATGATTTGTTCTTTTAATACGGTCATTTTAACATTTTGTGGGAAAATGTTAATATTTTTTGCGCAATATTGCGAGCAATTCATACAATTCAAGAAAATATTCCGTAATTTAAAATGACAATTCAATAGGCGGAGGATAGTTATCACACGGAAGAATAGGACAATCAGAAATATTCGATGTTGCATTAATGTCATGAACGAATAATAGATTTAGTGTCTCACAAAAGAAATTTTGAACTGAATTAGTTTGTACAAGACTTAAAAAATGTATCATGTCAAGTAAATTGTAACTATTTGTTTTGTTACACTTGACGCATTCACAATATGTGATCTGTATGCGGAGGGATATAGATCACGGCCTCCTCTACTAGTGAAGGAGGCCGTGTATAGATGCTTCCGACCATTAGATTTTTAGATGGTGATTTTATAAGAACAAATAATTGCTCATCCAGACTATTTTTAGTTTCAATACCTATGCTGTAATATTTACGGTGTACCGCATTAAGAACTCCGCCGCCTTTTGGAACGATTCGCAAAAGGCAACGTAGCCCACGAACACACTGAAAATATACAGTAGTCGAGGATCACCTGAAATTCAGTTTTCCTGAGTCGAGAAATCACGCCCCTAAGAATCCGTCCTTTGAAGAGGCTACAATCACAGGAACACCATTGATATACGGTTTCTACGATTTGTATCACCAATTCTCTCTCAGCTTGCAATTGAGTTAGTAGAGAAGATAAATGTTCACGTTGACGCTTTGATTTATCAGAAGTTATATGGGCGGTGCCGTTGAATTTCTTCTTTTTTCTCAAGATATTCAGTGCTGTATCAGGATCAGGAAGCGGAACTTTGATAGGGCGACACCTCGAATTACCAGGTGACCCTGTAGTAGGGTGTTTATGGTTGCCCAAACAAGAGACTAGACTTCATTGAGATTGTGTCATCAATCACATTCAAAATCGATAAAACTCTTTGACATCGGACATGCGTTCTGACGTGGACAGTTTATTTTTTCTTTAATTCCGAAAATAATTATATTGTTGGCTCTCCGTTTACGATCTATATATCCCTCGCATATAATTCCTCGAAGTCTTGAAAATTTTTAGAAACTGGTAATTTATTACCAGTCGCTTTTAGTTATTTTACCTCTTTGACCAACTGATCATTTGACTCTTGCAATTATTCAATTTTCTCATTTCAATTTGCAGGAGTACTCACAATGTCAAGTCGATTAGCGGAGTTTAACTTAACACAAGAATAACACTTGGTTTTCTTGGGAGTAAAACACGAATCTCCGAAGCTGACAATTCGGTGCAATCCGAAATTTGGCTTAGCAAACATCACACTCTACAAAGTCCGGGTCACCGCTCTTATTTCGAGAAACAATTGGCAACTTACAAGAATCGCAGATGTTCGACATGTTATCAGCGTTCGAATTAATATTGACATACGCAAAGCAAAAAGTTAAGGAGGCGTCCACGTGAGGCGGCAGTGCACTCGAAATTTACAATGTAAAATTTACTAAACTACAATTAAGCACTACTTTTATTCTCACTGATTAATTGAGAATTAAGAAAACTTCTGAACTGACTTGAACACAAATAATGAAACAAGTTTAAAAATACTTAAAATACAGGGAGCGAACATTACGTGTGCGATCACACCGCCGCCATCTTCAATTATTTAATGATGTTAAAGAATGAATTTAAGGATGTCAAGTTAATTTGTGTAGTAAATTTTCAATTAAAACCAAAGAGACTTCTTAATCGAACAGAACTTAGGATAGAGTACATTCGTAAATGGGAATGGTATTTGGTAAATGGGAACAATTCATGTTGAACATAGTCGCGAGTAGGTCCGACCAGGGATACAGCACAAGGCAAGTCGCGATCGTGGAATAATTTATTTAATTTTTTTTATTTATGAAACCATCAAATAACTTATAATACTCCCGGGTCATTTTGCACACTGACTTTCATATTAGAAGATACTATGGTAGGATGGATGTCAACAAGACGGAAGAGTTCACCCGAGAAATCAACGATGCGCGCGCAGAACAGAAGCCATTAACTGTAAGACTTGACCGAAAGGAATTGCAATTGTTGTATACGAGAAAAGTTAGATCAGATCGTTTATGAGCTCATTGATGTGTAACAAATTTATAATAAATATTAAGTTTTTTTTAAAGAATGCTGATAATTTGTGGCTAGTTGCCATCAATTCAAAATAACCAGTTTCAATTAGCAGAACTTCCAGGAAAGGGGGTTCAGTATAGACTTGCACGTCCACATACGACAGGTAAGATGTTGAAACCCACGCGAAAAAGAAAAAAAAAAGGGGGGGGTAAAAAAATGAATCAAAATACTTCATCACCGGGCAAATTTGAGCATACCTTGGCAACTAATTTTTAGAATTTGAATTTCCATAACACGCCCAAGCAGGAAAGTACTAAAACCAAAAGTTCAGATTCATTCCTGGTAGTATGAGTGTACTAATCATTAGTTTATTTTATTCTTTTTATTATATAAATGTATTTAAATATTGAATATCAGTGTTGGTATTTCACAAATCTCTAGCTCTAGAGAAACGTTCAGAAATATGCAGAATGGCAAATTTAAATGTAAAAAAAATAAACCAAACACTGAATTTATTTATTTCTTATATTTTATAAACAATTTTTGTATTAGCCAGTTCAGTTTTTAAAATCAAGATGGCCTTATTTTCAATTACAAATGTTGATGTCAAGTATCTTTGTTTTAAAGTAAAGTAATATTGAAAATTATACATAAGGCCACTGTTTTGTTTATCAATTATAAATTATAATTATTTTAAATCATTGTAATTTAAAATAGCTTCCAACAGACATTACTACTTGCCACAAGCATCTTTAATGTGGAAATAAAGCCCGTTTTTTGCGTAAGTTTACAGTTTTTTTTAAAAATATGTATACGTTAAATCTAAAATTAGAATTTTTTACTGAGGTTTGGTATCAAAGTGATCTAGGATGTGTGCAATTTTCTGACTTTTTTCTGGACTGGAAGTACATTATTTGGGTCACAAATCTTGGGAATTGTGATAACAGGCAGATTTTCAAAATTCTCATGAAGCCAACAAACACATTAATTTATAAGTTAATATTCTTTACAAGAATAATGCAGGTAACTCATTTAAACTTTTGTAAAACTTTAATATTTGCTTCAAATCACAATATTGACACTCACGTGTTGATTCAATGAATGGATATGGGTCAGGGGGTGTTGGATCTCCCATTAGTACCCAGATGCATAAATAAATTTATTTGAATCTGATATTTAAAAAGAATGACAATTATCATCTCTAAACATACATGAGCACTAGAAGGTTTGGAAATTCCCAGAACATAGCAGTTTACAAGTTTCTACTGAAACGTTCCCAAAATTTTGTTAGTATCCGGGCAATAGAGATAAGGCCATTGGAATATGGATTATTCCTAAAATAATGTAATTTGACTAAAAAAATTGAATGTGAAATCTTTGACAAACAAATCAAAAAGATACGGAACAAAAAAAATTGTAAGTTTACATGGTATTTTCCTGTTTAAAAAAATCTTAAAATATTAGTAGTTTCTTAGTGTCAAATGCAACTTACAACTTCCAATTTTATACGTGATAAGGGAACTTAAAACACACAGTATTAATTTTACTATCAAAAACGAAAATTTCCAAGTTTTCTGTCCAAAATGAATTCACATACAGAGTGCAACGAGTTATTTTAATTTTGACCAGAAATGGACACTTTTTGTGAATGTGCCCATATATTTCCTTTCAAATCCTGAAAGTTTCTCTGCAACTATACTACATACGAAGGGCATTCAAAAACTTCCCGGAAATGCCTTGCCAGCGCCTGACTAGCGATAAGACAGGATTCACATTCATCTGATAGGTGGCTAGGAATGTTCACAAGCAGGCAAAATTGGTCTGGACATGTTTCAGCGCACTGTGGAGTCACTGCTCCGTGCCATGTGGAGATGAGTGATATTCCGTCAACAAAATGCAGTTCGAACAGTGTGCGAACAAAGTTCATTTGCAAACTGGGAAAATCGGCTTTAGAGACATTTTTGGCTTTACCATGGCCTGGACATTCTGTTACTGAAAATTTCTATGGACAAGACTTTTGAGATAGCATGATGTAGTTCGAAGGGTCAAGTGGCAAGGAAAAGTGGTGTCGACAACACAGTAACGCACCCAGCTACACATCGCTAGTTGTCCAGAAATTCCTCGGATTATTCCTGACTTCAATCGACCACCTTACTCTTTGGATTTCGCTCCCAGAGACTATTGGCTGTGTCACAACCTGAAAGTGAGCCTCAAAGTGAAAAATTTTTCAACAGCAGAGAACATGAAATTGAGTGTGACACTCAGGTCCGACAAGTGCCGAAGGAACCCTTTAAACGCTCCTTGTAACAACAGCAGGAATGGTAGAGCAAGTGTGTAGGTACGCAAGGATGTTTCAAAGATTACTATTGCCATAGGTTTAAACATTAACATGCTGAACCACCATTCCGAGAACTTTCTGAATGTCCCTCATATTACTCCGTATATATGGATATGAGAAAGCAAAAAAGATACTCTTCCAGTTCAACAAGTTGCTTTCAAATTAAAGGACTGGTTTAAGGAAAAGGTTGAATAATATTTTTGGATGTATAAAAATCCAAAATACCAATAACATCCTGTTTATTCACCTTTTTTATTACATTTTAATTGCCTGCAGCTTTTGCAGCTAGTCGCTTGTCTCTTTCTTCAGCAATACTCAATTTCACACCCTTACCCTTCGGCAATGAAATGTAAGGTTTTGTGGCCTTTCCAATGATGAATACATTATTCAATCTGAAACAAAAGTTAAACAAATATTTAAAAATCTTTTCCCTTACCAAAATATAAAATGGAAATGAAATATATTACACTTGATATTTTATTCTCGTACCCTCCAACATATTTTCAACAGCAAAATTTTAAAAATATTTGTATCAACGTAACAATTTTAATGTACCTCAAATTTACACATGAATTTTTTTATATATTTACTTCAAATTACCATGAGAAAAATTTAATCACAGTATTGTTCACACATTTTTAATACTGAATTAGTCTTTAAGGAAAGATGGCAAGGGATGCCGAACAAATAAGTGTGATACTTCTTAAACAAGTGGGGCTACAATACACTGCCTCAGATTGAAATGGATATGCCATAATAATGCCATTTATTTACAGTCTGTTTATCATCTCTTGCAAAATTCACACCATCAAACTGCTCCCAACAGCACACTATCATCTATAACCAAATTTATCAGGAAATGTTACCACTGCCACACACACGAACAATTCAGTCTATATACACAATAACTTATGTAACAGATACAGTGAGTATTTGACTAGTTCCTGAAATAGCTGTAAAGCTCATATTATCCAAATCATTTTTATTTCATTCAATTTTATGGCATGTAAAGACCAAAGTAAAAATGGTGGTGAATTTTGCCAGACTTTGGAACATTTGACAACACTGCTGTTTATTTCAAATAACTTCCAAAATGTGTAAGTACTATTTAGTATATACAGTGATTTATGCCACTCTGCCCCTAGCAGGTATCAAATGTTCACAGTTTCATCCATCAGGAGCTTGAACGTCACTGATGTTCAAGTTGCCAATTGGTTGAAATTGTTAACATCAATACCTGTCAGGAGTTACAAAAATCACATTAGTATATTAGTAAGGCATTGTGGATGCCGCAAACTAAAAATAAACATAATTACAGGAAAACCCTTTCAAAGCCATGCTATAAATGCCTCATAAACTTAAAAAAAAAAAATATCTGGATTAAGACAAATAAAAATTACCCAATTACCTTGTGGCAAAAGTATGTCCTTGAGTATCCTTGATATGAACAATATCAAATGAGCCAGGATGACGTTCCCGACTCACAACAGTCCCCACACGACCCAAGTTACGACCACCAGTGATCATACACAAGTTGCCTGAAAATAAGTTAAGTATTTAAAACAATCACATTCTGAGAGATATATTTGTAGTACTTTCACTATTTCATACTAACTAAATTGCAAATAGCATATAAAAAGTCATAGAATGTTTTTGCATTAGAGAAGAAGAGACAGAAATAGACATACATAGCAAATCGCATAGACATAGCATGAGCAATCGTTAGGATTGTTTCTATTGTCACAAACAGGCACTGGTAATTCTCTCATGTGCAGTTCTTTCACAGCAATACTCTGTATTATCTTCCCGTGTTCTTGTGCAGGAACAAAATATCTTGTTTTTTATGATGAATGGATATTTTTAAAGCTTTCTTTCAAAAACAAAACAATTTATTTACTCCATGTATTTATAACAAGTGATGATAAAGGGTCTCATAGGGCAATTTCCCATCTGGTACCATAATTTACTTTTCTGTACTACATTTCTTGATAAACAGTGAAACCTGGTGAAACAGTCATCACCATTAATGGCTGTTTTATTGGGGGAACACTTATGATCAGTATTATTATTATTATGATTATGATTATTATTATTATTATAAAATTATGTTTTTAGCAGCAAACTGGACCAGACCAAGCATCTTTTGTAAATTGACCTTGATTAAGTGGTCACTTCTAATGATTTAACTGTTACAGAATAAGATGCACAAGAACTGTAAAAATATGATTCACTAAGTATCATTTTGCAATGGAACAGTGTAATATTACTTAGAACAGTGTCACATGAACAGGGATTATTTGTTTTATGATACAAAGAGGATTGTAATAAATGCCTCAATGAAAAAACAATGCATTTGCTTTGCCCATCACACAGCATTCCAATAAAGATTGCTGACCTTAGCTGTAAAAACTTGTCAATGGCTCGCACACCCACGTGGAAATCTAATATGAAAATTATTGTTGAAGGAATATGACAAAACAGCCCTTCTCACACATCATGAACTCCTTTTTAAAGTCTGCCTTGCTTGTGATTTTAGTGTTATCAAAAACCGAAAACAAGGTTTGCAAGTACTGTAATAGGATAAATGGCAATCCAAGGGTGTTGACACTAGCCGAGAGGAGGCAAGGGATCCTAGAAAGTGAGGAAAGGGAATCTCAGAGAAACCTACCTGACATTTTTAATATAGGATACATACTAATGAAATTATAAAATAGGTCACTTCCGGGCATTTTCAAAATCAGTGCAATTAAGAAGAGAACTATTTATAGAAACAACCTTACAAGAATTTTCTAAGAAAAAGTAAAATTTGTATGTAAACAATTTTTTGCTTAATGAAAATGTCATTTTGTCAGCTATTTTCTAACACTAATTATAAACACACAAAGTAATCAAGTAATTACCAGATTCAAATCTGATGTGGTCCATGATTTTACAAGTGGCAATATCCAGTTGGATTGAGTCATTCACTTTAATGACTGGGTCAGGATAACGGATAGTACGGCCATCATGGGTCACCAAGAATGGGATACCTTTGGGCCCAGTCTGAACTCTCCTGACCTTGCACAGCTTGTACTAAAAATAAGAGAACACGTTAAAAATTAACATTTACATAACTACAGTATCACTACAATAATGTTAATTTTCTCTGATGAGTAAGGAGTTTTCATTAAGAATCAAATAATGTGCCATTTTCTCTTCATTGAACATGATCATACAAACACTGAAGATTACATGCAACTATAACTGAATCAGAGCAAACAAAAAGGTTCGATGTCACATTTTGCCGGTTTTGAGTGAACAGTGAGAAACTGTACTTAAAATATTAATTAAACTTTTCATGCATAAAAGTTCATTTGTCTGTGACCTCTGTAGTATCCTTCAACTGACAATATTAGAAAAAATCTTAAATGCCAGGAACTAAGAATATTTTTGTTTTCTCCGATTCAACAGTATTTTCCTTTTTAATATAATTAACTTTTTTCTATAACTGCTAACCTTGGCTTCTTCTGCACTTATTCTGTGAATTGTGAAACGGCCTTTCACATCATATACCAGCCTGAAGAACTCTCCCGTTTTCTCAATAGTGACAACGTCTGGGAAAAAAATCAAAAAAACCTGTTTAAAATTAAGCACTGTAAAATTAATAGCCAGACCATGGTAAAAATTGAAAAATCAAGAACATCTGGACTGTTCTACTAACTACAGATGGACACACAACTAGTCAGTATCCTTGAAACAGTTCTAAGAACTTAACCTTTATTAGCATGACAAATTTTGTAAATACTGACACTAAGTAAATATTGCAATAAAAAAATATACATACATACACATATACATACAGGGTGTCTGAGCAGGAAACAGAAAAATTTGAAAATAACTCAGTCGATATTTCAAATGGCAGAGCAGTAATCAGCACTCAAGAGTTGGTTGAAAAAATACTTTTAAAGCAAATATTTGCATTTCAGAAATGTTTAAACACAGAAATATGTAATTGTTTATTATTTACAAAAGAAATGATTATATTTATTCACAAAAAAATTTAAACAAATAAAAATGCACCCAATTTACATAATTCTTTTTTTGTGTGTGTGTGTGTGTGTGTGTGTGTGTGTGTGTGTTAATTTTCTTTGTGAACATCGTGGAGAAATCTTTTCAAGTGAAAATTTTGAAGCTCATTTCACAATGCTGACTGAGCAGTCGTGAAAATGTGCCAATTTTGCTTCATTCATTCACACACATACACACACTTCATAAAGTACATTTTAAGCCATTATGTTCATGAACGCATTGAATACCAAAATAGAACATCTGTATTGTGAATATCAAGGATTGGTGAAGAGCATTCAACAAAATACATTCTTGAAAATGAGAACTTTAACACACAAGGGGGGGAAAAAAAGAAAAGAAAACGTAGGAGTATACCAGATCTATGATACTGTAACAAGGAAACTTGTTATAATATCGTGGATATGGTATACTCCTACGGTTCTTTTTTTTCAGTGCACTTAAAAGTTCATGTAACAATTTTTATAAGATTGTGAAAAAGTGTCCCACAGAATTAAAAAATTAGAATTTGCAATTAATTTTTAAAAAAATTAAAAACTTTAACAAAGACTTCAAAATCAAACGGAATCCATTACAGCATTTTAACTTTGAAAACTATCCAAAACAGAAACAGAGGCACAAACTTTTGGTGAAAGATGAAAGCGAAAAATTGGCTAACATCAAGTAAAAATGTCTCATTGATTTATAACAAGCTTTTTGAAGAGCATACCTTACAATTCACATTTAATTGTGAATTTTAAGCCTATGCCCGAAATGAACACTTATAAACAATCTGCCACAAAATCTTAATAATCAAAAGTTCAAAGCCTTAGCAGTAAGTATGTAGGCTCACTAGTTAAGCTTGAGCCTGTTTTCAACTCCATTCTCAGTTTGAGGTTTTTGGCTGGCACCTTTCAAGCCTGTCAGAAACATGCCTCATTGTCTCTGGACAACAAGATAGCTCGAAACAGGTGTTTGATTTCCACTACTGTAACCCGCAGCATATAAGCGACTGTCAGCTCAATGTTGTCACACACTTTACTACGCACCTCCTACATCACAAATAAATGAAATCTCAAAACAGTAACACTTACCGACATAATGACACGTTTTGATATACCCAACTTTCGCCACAGCCAGACTTTATCGCCTCTGCGACTTCATGAGTCAAAGGAGCGATAACGCTGAACTCGGACTCAAAAACACAACAACTAAGAACCCCAACAGTGACAAATTCTCGTAAGGTCATTGGTTCAGAACGTGTTACATAATGTACCACAGCATGAGGTGAGAGAAGTGTCTGTCGCTTATACACTGCCAATACTGTAGGTATGCATTTCAAAATGTAATCAGTTAGTATTTTAAGTTTTAAATCCAAATAGATAAATGCATTATGTTATGAACATATGGCTTTATTAGACATCGAAACATGCAATAGGTTTTTATCATTAATAGGGGCTGATTTTGAGAACCTAAAACCTTGACAAAAATTATCAATAAAATGCTCTTAAAATGTTTTTAAAATGCCCTAAAAGAAAAGAATAATTACGTAAAAAATTTGATCAAAACCACTTCTGATAAAAAAACTCAAGATGTTGGATATGTTACCAACATAATCAACGCTTCCTTTCATTCAAGTGCACTCAGCTTGGATCTTTTGGTTTGGGCGGTTCTTTACAAGAAAGTCTGCCTTTATTTATCACGAAATCATCCGAACTGACAATGACTCAGATAGGCGTCACAGGTATCTTAGATCACATAGTACTCGCAATGACTGACACGACAATATATTAGAAATAGAATAGGCTACACAGGAATCCTACTATGAAAATTTGTTGCATCTCATAAATATTGTTTGAAGCAAGTACCGTTAAATTATTAATTATAAATTAAATATTAAATGACTGAGAAAATTGACATTTTTTTAGAATGGCAGAAATTGAAAGATATTTTTTAAATGATTGTATCAAGTATCTTGACCGTGGTGAATAAGCTGATAAGTCAACAAAAATTTTATACAGGAGGGCAAAAAACAACTTCCAACTGATGCTATAAATCAGGTCAATAGTTTCATTTCAATATCATTAATGCCTGAATTAATGGAGTTGAAAGTTGTTTTTTGCTTCCTAGTAAAATTGAGTTTATATGACTTAGCTTATTCACCGGGATCAAAGATATACTATTATATACATTTTTTATTCATAGAAAGTCTGCAACATCAATAAAATCGAACTTTAAACAGTGGGCCACAGAGACCCCCGAATCCCCTTCCCCCTTGGAAATGAACAGGACCTTTTATATTATCATGGTCTTGGAAGGGTTAAGAGAAACAAAAAGTTCACCACATTCCCTTTACTTTAATGGAATTTCAGAACTGCTGCAGCATTAAAATTGAAAGAATTCAGCATATTCCATTGCAAAACATTGTTTGGAGGAGAAAAGAGTGGATCCATCAAAACAGCTTTCAGCAAAAACATACAATATTTTCGTACTGTATCTCCTAGGAAATTAACAGGGAGTAGTTTGAAAACAAACTGGGTACTTCAACTTTCACCACATAGTAGCATTATTGCAATTCCATTCCACATTTTGCAATGCGCAATTAATTGCTAGTACAAATGTTACAATTATACCATACAAGCAAGTTTTTATAATATTCCACAGCAGGGGATGAAGGGAGAAGGACAACTATGTCACATGAATTTAACTCGCTAAATGATGCCGCCACAATGCTATGATTGTTTTTAATTCACATTCAATTAATCTGACCTACATTGATTCATTGTAACATACGAAGTAACCTAAAATTGAAACCATAACCAATCTGTTTTCACTGTGGGTTATGCAGTTAGACTACATAAGCACAAGCTGCGAACGTCAGTGAATTTGCTATAGGTCAGTTTTGACTCTCTATCACCATTTGTGAAAAAGAACTTCGATCTGACCTACACTGATTCGTTGTTACATATGACTTCAACACCACTAAAACAAGGATGGCCATTATCGCAAAAGTTACTGTGTTTCCTCTCAATTGGCACGTGGGTACATTCCATGGCATCTTTTATAATAGCTTGGCACAATCTAATGCATTAATTGCATATTATGAATGGGAATGTAAGATCAAGAAATTGTCTATGTGATTTAAGAGAGCTTGTATTTACTATTTGTGTTATTTGAGTACAATCGTGGTTCAAGAATAGAGATGGCAAGGAGAGTTTCGAAGCCAGAGAATTTAGGTACTAGTGTTTTACTTTAAACTTAGGTGACCGTTTTTAATTTATATTTAAACAATGTATACAACAGATCATATTTGAGATTCATACATCAAAATATGCCTTATTTAAGTACAATAAAGAATTTTTAGCAAAAGTTTTATTAAGTTCTCCTATAGTCCTCACAAAGCCGATAATTTGGTTGGCTTTATTGACAATTTGGTCAACATGTATATTAAATTTCATTTTGGGATCAAAAATTCCTCCAAAGTCCTTGATTTGGTTGACTGATTCCAATAGATGCCCATTTATGACGTTAGAATATGATATGGGAGACTGCAAGTATGAGAACCACATAACTTAGCATTTACTAACATTAATATATAGTAAGTTACAACTGCTCCACTTCAATAAATCATTTAAAGCCTTCTGAAGAATTGTCCTCTACGGTTTAGATCTCCTTATTTAATTTAAAGTCGTCCACATATAAAAGAAATGGGCATAAATTTAATGTCAGTAACAATATTGGACCAATATTAGCCACTTGGGGTATATCAGAATAGTTAAAATTAATTTTTGAGCTTATGATTTATAGCTGACGTTTTGTACTATTGGATAGGTAGGACCGTAACCATTATAATGGAGGACCTATAGATTTCAGCTTGCTTAAAAAAACAATATGAAAGGCTTTTATAAAGTCTAAATATATAGAATCCATTTGAGATTCGTTTTCTAACATCAAGTGTAAAATGTTGAAAAACAAGTAAATTAGTTGTTGACCTTTTACACCATGTTGCTCATGTATTATAGTTGGGTTAAATGTAGATGAAAGTTTTTCCATTCCTATAGATTCCAGTAATTTAGGTATAGTACTTATTCATACTGGCCTATAATTTTCAACATTGGTAATACAACCTGATTTGCATATGGGAGTTATGAAATACTCTTTCCAGTCAGTTGGAAAAAATTCTCAATGAGATTTGTTAAACACTGTATGTAAGTGTTATATTGCCAATTAAATTTTGCAAAAACACAGATGAGATTCCATCAGGTCCAGAACCTTTGTTGGAGTAAATGATTACCAGCATTTACAAATGAATATGAACAATTATAAACAGATTCAGCATCGTGAATTTTGTCATTGGGCACATATACTCACTGAAAATAATCTGCCAACAACTCCACTATGTAATTACCCTTAACAGTTGTCTTATCTTTACATCTGACCATACTCGCCAAACCATACATACCGTTTGAATTTGGAGTACTTCCAGAAATGTTTGATATTACCCCAACTAATTCTTCAACCATATTGGCAAACATATCAATTTTTCCTAGCCTCACATTTACACATTCCACGAATAAAAGAAAATTGTAATCCTGGTCTAATCTTGAAACTTTATAGTGTGCAACATTTTTATGATTTATCAATTTCATTTTGAAGAATACAAAGGCAGATACTTGGAGGAACCATTCACATATTTGGGGACGAATTTTTCTATTACATTACTAATTATTGTATAGAGGTATTCAGCTGAATAACTATTAAAGATTGGTATCCAGCTCAAAATGGTTAACTCATCATTTATGGATATATAATCTGCTTTTTCAAAATTGTTTCTGTTGAATTTATTGTCACAAAGTTGTTTACAAATGAAAAGTATATCTATTGCTGGTTGAAACATGTAATTGCATGTGAAACAGGTAATTTAGATTGTGTTACACACTTGTGATGTTGGATAAAAATTAATCTAAAAATCTTTTGCAACGATTGTAAATTGTATATGCTCGATGCAAATAACAAAATTATTTACAAAAACTTACTTACATTTGTGTCTTTAAGCTTTTCATAAAGTTTTAGAAAAGGTATAATAAAATAAAATTTGAACTCAACAGGTTAACCTACAATTGAAGAATGAATATGTGGAAAATAACTACATAACCACTAATAAAACCAACTACTACTACAGGCTCCCCGGATCCAATCAAATCTTGGGTAACACCAGTCGACATTCAATATAATTCCCAGCCCTGCAGTTCACATCATATGAATATGTTATACTTTCTACTGTCTCAATACTCACCCATGAAACCAGCTGGATAATTCGGATCAGTTCGCACTTTGCCATCAACTTTGATAAGTCGCTGCATAACAATCTTCGTTACTTCACAGTTTGTTAAGGCATACTTGAGCCGATTGCGAAGAAAAATCACCAAAGGTAAACATTCTCGCAATTTGTGGGGGCCAGTACTGGGACGAGGAGCGAAGACTCCTCCAAGTTTGTCCAACATCCATGCTTTAGGAGCATTTAAACGCTTCAAATGCTTCTTAGGTCCACGCGCCTGAAACAATTCAATTGAGACATAGAAAATGTACACTCGCAAAAGAAGTACAATTCCCTGGTTACTCTACAAAATCTTTATTAAATTGTAATTATATCAATATACCTAGTAGTATTTTATCTATACTACTTCTTCAAAAGGCGATACCTAATCACAACATAGATTTTTAATGCCTGTCGAACATCGTTCTAACGCTAGCTAACTTCGTCCGCTACTTTTGGCATGTGGACACAACACATTTCACCCCTATTGGAACCAACTAAAACCTAATACTTCACATCTATTTTATAATAACATCATACGTTCCAAAACAAATCTTATATTATTCATGTATAAGTCGATGAAATAGGATTCATATTTTAGCACATGTTATCTACTCACCATGTTCGCTGCCTGCCACTGTGTCCAACCGGAAAAAGAAGACCTCTGTAGCGCTCTGGAGTAAACAAAATCAAGAGAATGGTCAAAGAGAATATATAAGGTACGGAAGTTGCCCGTTTCGTATACGTGGCGCGAATTCAATTTTTTAATTCTCTGCAAATTAATACTTCCAACCAAATTAATAATTCGTAATTTAATTAAATTAAGAAATATGCGTCGCATAGGAAATTGTAAGCGAATGATATATAATGAACTTACAAGAAAATATAAACCATTCCTCTAATTATATGATCTTAAAAGGGATTATGATTTTATGATCTATAAAATTCATGTCATATAATTTTTACTATGTAGGAAGTATTGGACGTAATGCTGCCATAACATCGATGTCGAGATATTGAAGAAAAATACGTTTTGGTGAGCACTTATTCTGAAAAGTTGATGTTTTTACTTTCTCGCATACTTCTTACTGAAAATAGAAGAAATATTGTAGCGAAAATGGCGATGTGTTGAACAGAAAACCCATATCTCTAGTAATACTGAAAAATGGATAATTCTTGCTCCTGTATGTAGAAAACAACTTTCTCTAATATGTTGTATAATCATAATTCACATCTCGCGGGAAGGTCCTGGGATACAGAAAAACGCCTGTTTGTCCGTCTACCTGTGAACAACAATAGCGGTTAAAGTGTAGGCAGAATTCTCATGAAAATTGATATTTTCCGATCGATCTGGCTGATTTGGCGACCTCTTCAAAACTTTTTTTTATAATAATATTTTATTTTGCAATTTGTTTGAGTACAAATATTTGTCAAAAATGCATACATTTTTTTAATAACATGAGAGGAGTAAGGTCCATTGACCGTAGGAGTACGGTCTTCAAAACTGAAACGAATATTTTGGGAGGATTTGACCATTAAGACATTTTCAACAAAAAAATGGTTTCAATATTTTTAATAATTATTTTCTCTCTCTCGAATAGAACCAAGTACGCTTATTAAAATAGCCCTAGTCTTATTTTCGTTCTCTGAATTTTCGAAAATTGCAGAATACTTAAAAAATATTAGGCGTCATTCTAGAATTGAGTCAGTCAAACTCCAGTGCTATACTAGACCGAAACTAGGAAATGACTAACCAAGACCAAAGACATGTTGAGACAAGGATGGTACACGACTTGGATTCTACCATCAAGTGTGTTAAAAAATCCATGAACGTGGCGAAATTTAAACAGTAAATTCTGCTATCAAAAATGTGATCGATACCATCAAGAAAAGTGTTGAAAAAATGAAAAATCGTCTAGTGAATACAGGAGAGTATAAACAACAATAAATATCTCGTCGTGTTAACCTTCCAGTTCCTTCTTTAATTAATATTGAAAAAAGCGATTTTTTTTGTAGCGATTGATTCGGCTCTTCAAAAATATATTGAAATAAGTTCAAGGATATATTTTTTTTTTCAAAATATGAGTTGTTCCGTTATTTTTGGGTGAAAATAAAGGCAATTTTAAAAAACTATTTTCTCGAAAGATTCCAATTTCCTATACATTTAGGGGGGATCATGCCCCCCCCTAAAAAAAAAAGATTTTGAAAGGGGCCCCGAAGCCTGTTACACATTACATTTTTCCTGATATTATGTTCAATATCTGTTTTTCATTTCTTGTAACAGGAATACCACCATGGTGACAATTTGGGGAATTATTACGCGAGAATGCATTTGGTTAATGGTTCAACATTATATCAATTGTATTAGTCGTATTGCCATTTAATTTTTCCAAAATTAGTACATTGATGATTTCCCATAAGTACGTAAACTAATTTTGCAACAATTGCTTCATTTTTCCTTTAATTTTTGTTTTTGTTTGAAGAGAGAATTAAGTACTTGTATAAATAAGGCAAGGTATAATTCTCATTACAATCTAAGAGATTTGAATACTTGCAAAACTTCGTCTCTCTCCCCCCCCCCCTTTCTTTCTCCCTTTTCTCAATCTCATCCTATTCATTAAAAATTGAATTGAGAGATTTGTCTTAATGACAATAAATTTGCCCAATGTTAGATCTTCAAATCATTGCATGTTTCAAAATATTAGTCATTTTTTTAAGTGAAAGCATGAGAATTTTGTTAGGTTCCACTATAATTGGGGAGTTAAAAATTGGTAGACATGCTGTATATAGAGATTTCAATAAAAATTGAGTGGTCATGGTGCACAACTCATAAGCTCAAGCGTTGTGGTTCAAGTTGTTGACTAAGCATATTAATTTGTTCTTTTAAACTGTAAGGATAGAGGAAAATACACTAAATTTACTGGCAGAGCTATTTTCATTTATCCTTCTCAATTTTCAATACATTAAATATGGGCTTTTGTTGTTTAGACACTTTTTTATTAGGAGAACTTCAGGAGATTGCTGCTTAGTTAATAAAGTCAATTATTTCATAATAGAACCTGTTCGTAATAGTAGTAGTATTTTTCCCTCAAAGTCATAATTCTAAATTTTCTTTTGCGCCAAATTAAATATTTCCCAATTTTTTATTTTATGTTACTTTTTTTTCTTTTTGTTAATTTTTAAGATTAAAAATATTAAGAACACATTTCAATATTGTATTTGCAAAAAAATTCTAAACAACCAAAAACTGGACAGTCCATTTATTTCAGTCAACCTAGCTTTCAAATAAACAGGACACACATTGATTGCTGATTTATAGTATATACATTTGATAGTATGGAACATCAATGAGAACAAAGTCTTGTAAATTTTGTACATAACATTTTTCCTAGTACATCACAGTATGCTGTAAAATCCACATATATTTGTATAATTTTAGTCAATAAAATCATAAATCTACAAGTACAAAAATACTGAAGTCATTAGCTTAAATATAGATGCCTTTAACACCAATATTTCTTTTTTTAATAACATGATTACAAGTAACAAAAATCTAATGAATATCCTTCATTTCATGCAGAAATGTTTTGACACACAATATAATTGGTTGACAATAGTATCATCAATAATTCATTTATAATGAGTACATTTCCACTGTCACATTTTTCTAATATCACAACTCAAAATTTCAGTTAAATATTCACAAAGCACTGAACCCAAAACTTCACATAGAATATTTATTGCTGATATGAATAGTTTCAAAACAGAAAAAAATTCTTAATTACCCAACACAAATTGTCTTACACAAGTCCTTTGAATAAAAACTATTAACTTTTGAAAATTCATTTCCTAAATTAAACAAGACAAGATACATATTCACAGTTAAGATAGATTAGTAGTCTTGAAATTTAACTTGTGTATATTGTGCTGTGAATAGCAATTATACACCTGAAAAAACATGTACTTACAGTTGCATGTTCATATTTTGGAATATCCCCCCCCCCTTCCCCAAAATCACCAATTTGAAGATAAAATACTTCGAAAAATAAATTAAATAAACAGTAAAAACAAAAAAGGAATTCATTCTTATATAAAATCTCACTTAATGCATCACAGATGTTCTAATGATTCAAATAAATTTTTTCCACTATAGGCACTTATCAATGGTTTTAATAGCAACTTTTAGAATGAATAAATACATAAATATTAAAACTAATTTTGACAATAACGTTAAAAAAATTGCCCGATTACAAAAAAATAAATGCTATCTAAATTTTAGCAATTTTCAGCAAGTTTTACTTTTTGGAATGAGGACTGCCATTTCCCAACATTAAATAATAATTAATAAAGTCAATGTCTCTATATAATTTAAACAAAATACTGAAGAAGTTCAGGTTTTAATACAAACCAATTCATCTCTCTGAATGCCTTCTGATAAAACCTTTCTCTAGTTTCAATTTCAGGGATTTCAGCAGGTGTAACACAATCAAGCAAAAAGTGAATAGATTGATTTTGACAGAAGTAGAACTCATCTAATAGTAAAATGTATTTTTTGCAGATTCAATTTCATAATAAAGAGAAGTAAATCAGATATCACTATGATATGCACATAAGGAATTCAACTTGGGTTATTATGTATATTAAAAATAATGAATATTAGTGTTAGTTTAAAAATATTTAGGTATTATCTGAAAAGTATAAAAATTCTTCCACTCAGTAAAAGGTCTTCCAGAACACAGGCAGCCAAGATTATGAAGTACAGTAGTTCATAATGCCAATCTCATGACAATACTACAGAAGGGTACCTATTTAACATGAATTTTTAATAGCAAGTACGTAAATTTTAAGAGTGATGTACAATTCTTTAAAAATAATTTTGAATAGTTGATTCTAAATACACAATTCAAGCTGACTTTCCACACCGAAAGGCATCTGCCATTTTCCTTCACAAGCAAAAACATTGGTGTTCATTAGATTGTTGACATGCCTCTGCAAACAATACAGCAGTTTTACGAGTATTGCATGTTTAAATCTGGTCCTTACATTAAGCAACATTGTAGGTAAAATGTCTTTATTACCCCACAACACAGCCAAATCTGTTAAGTGATGATTCATAGGAAGCACAAGAATTAACATCATTTTGATAGTGCCAAATACTATAGTCATACTAAATGCACATTTCAATTTTATAAAAACAAATAAATAAAAAATTATTTCATTTTTATTTATACATGAACGCAGTGAAATTACAATGCTGTTTGAAAGGGCAGGATGTTTCTGGTCCTGTCACAAGGATGAAAAAAAATGTTTTAAAAAGAAATTAAAAATTAAAAAAATACATTAAGTGAAAAAGGAAAATTGTCATAAGGTAGTCAAGGAAGTATTTAAACCTATTATGAATTAATCTAGGATCAAAGTCAGAAAACAATGTTCTCTTCAGTAGGTATAGAACAGTAAATGAAAAAAAACCATCGAGTTATATCTTATCATTGTTGAAAAATAAATAATTCACTTCTATTGACAACAAACTTTTAAGAACAAATATTTCTCATATTTGAACAATCATTAGGCATATTCTTTTAAGAATTCATTGAAACAAACAAAAATTTTAATAACACTGAAGAAACAAAAAACTGAAAGGTTAAATTACAATGATACACTGGAATTGTACTATAATAAACAAGCATTTGCAGATAAATTGCATTTCTATTAATTATAATTACAAATTTGTGAAGTTATTTTGAAGAGTTCTTGCTACATTGTCACTGAGCAATATTAAATCAAACTAAATGTACATTTTCCACATATCCAATAATTCGAAATTAACATCTATCTCATTAATAAGCTTATGGGTCATGCCAAGCTTTGAGATGAAAAAAAATATATCCCTATCCAGTGAAGTAAATAGTTTACATAGTAAAATAATAATTTTCTCTAGTCCTACAAACATGGGCTTCACATGAAATGCAGGATATAATAAAAACTGCAGAGTAATAATATTATTAAATTGTAAAATACCAGATCTTCTTGCTATACAGAATCTTACAGATCACACACACGCACAACTGGCTACCATGCACAACCAACCATAATTTCCCATTCAAATGTCCGTTTTTTAATTTCAGCAACTTCAAAAGTGCCTATTCTCTACTCTTGATCTCATTATAAACTGTATAGAACATTCACAACAAACATGAGGGCACATTCAGATTATCAAAAAAAAACCAAATGTAACATCATTCACCTTCAATACCCAGGCTTTCATAACAATAGGAAAGAGTTAATTAATTTTTTTAAATGAGAACATCAAAACAATTCTGACTAACAGCAAGTATATAGTTTTGGTATGGTTTAAGAATCATTATGAAAACTAGAAATACATGTGTACTGGAGATTGTCACTGCATTGTAAAATATCTTTAAGAAGAACAAGTTTTTCCTGCAGTAATCTTAAAAACATTACTAAATTGTAATCACATTAACTAAGGGCACAAAGTACTTTAGTATTTTACTTTTAAAAAGAATATTAAAGAAACAATGATTGTTTTGTTCACTTTCAAGCCAACAAGGTGCAATGCAATATCACGTTCAAGAACTAGAAATTTTCCAATTTAAGAATTTGGATATTCTAATCACACTAACTCTGGATGATCTCCATTTTATTTTATCAGGACAAGAACATTAATGTTTTAAAATGCATGCACTAACGCAATGTAATGTGAACAAGGGAATAAAAATAAATGCACAAGAGTGCAAGCGTTTGCATGTCCATAATAATTTTATACACATATATTTCTGGAGTAATGAAAGTAAACCATATTAACACAAAACATCTGGATACCAGCATGTATAACGAAGTACTTTCTAGATTGGAAACTACTAGTCTTAGGCAGTTGATGCATTTAGATGAATTTATACAATGGAGCCATATCAGGTCATCAAATAAAGTGTACATTTCTGTACAGCGTATCCTGTCAACAGTGGAGTAAAAATATCTGCAATATTTACAGCATTTGACTCTTACTGTTAAAATACGACCATTTCTGATCCAGCAATTTGATAAAGACCACTCGTTAAGCCAGATTTTCGTTGCTCTTATCTCCTGCAGTGGCAACGGAGTCTCTACGAGTAAATATGCGTTCAAGAAGAGCATATCGTTCTATGTGCACACACTCATGCCGTTCGAAGTGCTGACTGGCCAATGTTGTGCTGAGAGGTTCCAGAGGAGCCGGCAGGGATTCAGGAGAGGCAACATGTGCAGCTGTTTCAAATAGGCTGCTCAAAAATCCTTTCCAGTCTTGCTGCTGACTGCTGTCTAATGTGGGAAATAGAGCCTCTGCACGACTCAACATGCTGGCAAGAGCTGATACACCAAACTGTAAAATATTTGTATGAACAATTATTTTACAAAAACAGCACATGATTGTAAATCCACTGCAACAGAATGTAATTATGAAACAAAACATATTGACATTTAAGCAACAATGCCTCACATCGCTAAAATCATAATCTTACATAAGACCAAAATCCTGTAATTTGTAAACAGGATGTCTCGTTAAGATAGTCTGGTTGTGGAGCTTCAGACTCCCCAAGCAACAGCCCTTTGATTCCTTGGGATCTGAAAGTAAGATTGCCTCTACTCTGGTTATGTGCCATGCACTTCAACACAACGTATCACACAGGAGATGTTGAAAATGCTCTCCATTTACTTCTCAATACTTCTTTTTCCAATGAGACATATGTAATTCATTTATTAAAATCTTCTAGTGTTATGTTACAAATTTCTCTCAACATATGTTCATGAAGCTCAGTTATTGTGCACCGTCCTTCAACAATACAACAACAAAACACATCAAGTCTTGGGAGATCTCAGAGGTCAGAGACCACGAAAAATTACTGTATCATGCAATTCATTTCTTGTACCGTGACAAAACAGAAAAACAAATACGTTTGTTTCAAATTAAATCACTGCCAACTGCATACTTTCCAACATCAATAAGTCCCTTAGTATTTCTACTCTCATTTTATTATTCTGTCATTTGAAAGCTGCAACCGTTGCATAATGATACACATTACGATACAGATTTCATTATGATACAGGGTCTTGGCCAATCACAGAAAAGTTTACAAGCCAAGTACTGAAACTTAATTTATCACACAAAATCTTGCTAGTAAATGTTTTGTTTGACTGTGTACATTAAAATTGCATTTAATATTATGCTTGCCAGTTTTAATTTAATTTATTATTAGTAATTTTTATGTGAAATAGTCAAAAGCATGTCTGGATCAGGGAACCAGGGATCCAGAGGCTCCCAAAGCATCACGGTTCTGCAAACAATCTCGTCCAGAAATTCCCAACCTGACTGAGCATAGTAACAGGTCCAGAGGCTCCTATGCATGCAAACATTTGGTGTATAAACTCGTCTAGTGCAGTCAAAGGGTTAAAATAAATTGGATTGTAATTTCACTTTGATACTAATTGGCTAGCGTAGTGGTAAACAAAAGCCACCAGTGGCAGGGTAGGAGGAGAGCTGTCTGCAAGGTGGCCTTGGCTGAATCCTGCATATCAAACTACTGTGAAACAATTCAATGTAAAATTTTAACTTATAAAAGTTACCATAAGTTGTAGAAAAACTCTATGTAATGGGTTTTCAGTTATGTACATAGTTATGTAAAGTTTACAATACTCACTTGTATCGTAATATCACTTGTGTCATTGTTGCTTCATAATGTACTATTTTAACTTTGGTGGGGGAAAGAAAGCGTTAAACACATTTTTTCACTTTCATGAACACTTTTTTTTTTCACTGAAAGAATAACAGAACATTTCTGGGGAAACGAAATCAGGACTTCCCCACAGAAAAAAGCTAGTCTGGGTATATGACAGCTCAATCACAGAGATGATACCTGCCTAAACTCCACCCACTATGTACACCCATATGTACTACACGGGTACATATGGGAAAATACACTGTACATATTTAGTATATTACTTTGTATTTAATTAATGTGTAAAGACTATTTTAACTGAACTAACCTTTTTTTTGTTTAAGAGAAGATCAAATGCAAAATGCAAGTTCATTTCTGATAAATACTGTGATTGCAAGGCATTGTTCCTTAAGTGTCAATATAGAGTAATACTTAGCTCTAAATACTTATATAGTAAAAGAATATTATTTACCATTCACCATATAAGTGCTAACAGAAAACAAAACTAGATATCGCAACTGTTCACTTTTGCCGGTGCCTATCAAACAGCAGATAATTCTTCAAAAAAGCTCTTTCATGAGCTTTTGAATTCATGATACAAATAAAGAAATTATACATATAAAAAACATAGCACTTTGAGAAAAAAAACTCCTTCACAACTCGACAAGAAAACAATACGACAAAACAATGTGCATTAACACCCAAATACACACTAAAATTAAATAAAAACTAGCATTTATTCAACATAATAAAAATAATATACTTACTTTGTTGCTAAAGGCATAGCTTAAAACATTTCTTCCCACAGGAGATGTAGTTCGAGTTGGTGTAGGAGTAGAAGTATTGCCTTCTCCCTGAGCAGGTAACATGCTACATACAAGTTGTAAAAGAGGTGCGAAGGGCAAGGTAGTCACCCAATTGTGAAAGTAAGGATGAAACCTTGGCAGTACAGCATCTGAACCCTGATCTCTGCGTCCAATTGTAACCAAACCTCTTAAAAGGCGACTCCATAAGGTAAGTATTTGAGGAGGTCCATTATCTGTGGCAGGAAGGTGTGGCAAGAGTCGCAGAATCAGCATCTAAAAGGAAATATTAAGAACATAGTAAATAATAGGCAAAATAATGTAAAGTAGATATCCATGGAATGTGTCTACATTTGCAATGATTGAAGTATGCTAAGACACGAATGTAATAGTAAAGAATGTTGGTCAGTACAACAATGGATAATAAACACCTGTGAATATGAAGGTCTGCATTAATATTAAGTGTATTTGTCTGACAAGACAACTGAGAGTCTAAAAAACTCCCTAATTTTGAAGCAACCTCTAAAGATATTTTTTCTCCCCTACCTTTCTTTCTTTCTTTCTCTTTCTTTCTTTTCATCTTTTTTCACATTAGGTTTCGCTTAATCACAATGCCAGTTGTTCAAGATACTCTTAGCTAGCCCATACCGAAATAAGTCTGAATTGCCCAGCACAACCCCCCTGAGTGCCAAGATAATATCCATCAATATAACAGTGTACAACATCTGTCCCAAAAGTAATGTGTCACAATTTTTTTACACCACTATAAGTTGCAGAACAATCAGACTAGTTTGGATAGGATAGACTAGTTTAGCTTTTCAATGGTTCTTAGTTCAGTTGTCTCTCTGCCCTGGGGAGGTTGGAACAAAGTTTGTAAGGTCCTGTGTAGTAGTTGTGTTGTACGTACAATGAAGTCATCTTTGGATGAAAGGTACGCTTCGAATGAAGCTGAACAAGATACTGGTGGAAACTTTCGAGATGTTTCAACCTAATTTGTAGACACTTATCACCGGGAATGAGACTTCGATCTAGGAGTACAACAGAGGGGGCATGTCATGCGATGTTACCTCAGTGTCTCCATGCTTCAAGAAGCCTTGTATAAGCAAATCACGCATGAAAGTCAGGCTCGTTGCTTTTTTTGACAAAAAGGGGATAATGCACAGTAAATTCGTACCTCCAGGACACACTGTAAGGGGTCCAGAGTGAAAGACAGTCACCAGTGTCCGAAAGGAGATCAGTATTCCCTGGAAGAATCAGAACAGTGTGCTGGCCCACACTGCCTTGGTTATCGGGAACTACCTGACTTGCATCGGTGTGACAATGCTTTCACAACCACCCTGACCTTGCTCCTGCAGTCTTCTTTTTGTTCCCCTGGCCAAAAAGGGTCATGAAATAAACCCATTTCAAAATTTTGAACATCAAAACATAGAAGAAAGGTTACGAAAAGAACAAAGAGGGCTCTGAAGGACATCTTCGCCAATAACTCCTGGGCACTTAGGAGGCAAGGAAAACATTGGCAAAATTTATCGATGCATAGGGGTCAGTCTTTAAAGAAGTTTAAGTTGCTGAACCTATCTTATTAATCAATTTGTTTTTAAAAAATGCAATGTTTTACTTTTAGGACATAACTTGTATTATAAGAGATGGTTCTAAAATGCTTGTAATGTTTTGCACAGCGACGAAGTGTAAAAAAAGTTTCAACACCTAATGAAAAAGTTTTTGCATAACTTCCTTCCTTCTTGAAATACAAGGTATTGTAGTATTTTTAAGCATATGAAAGAGCATCTTAATGCCATTAATTATTAAAAAATTGTTCTTTCTTCAAATAGTCTTTTACTGGGGGTAATGTGCTGGACTTTGAATTGTACAGAAATAAAAAATTATTAATAAAAAGCATACAGTATAAATACTATACCGTATTATTACATTATAAGTGAAGACTGTTTTGGGTAAATTATTAAAGTTACTGTAATGTTCTATGTGAGCATTTTATTCATTCTTCTTGAACAGTGTACTTGCTACGTTTTGAAAAACCATTTTGTGTGATTTTGTTCAGCAGCACTTGAGCTACTGCAGGCCTCTAGTTTTATACAGTAATTATTATATAGATAATATTTTTTACTTCTTTAATTTATGTTATTATTTTATGAGGAATTGTCTACTTATTGAGTTACATAATTCAAGATAGAAGGCGTTTAAATCTAGTTTTAAAAAGTATGAAGGCTGTTGCGAATGTACACTGACTTTATAGTTAATGAGATAAGCAAGTGTGAATCAAAGAGAAAATAGCACCTTCTAGTAGGCAACCCACAACAAAATTAAGACATTTCTCTAAATTAAAAATTATTTTTGAAATTAGAAATTATAACATATTGCCTAGGTACTACCAACAATTCTAACTTCACATGATTATAAACAGTTAAGTATCTTGAGAGTTGGGTAGATGCAAAAAAGAATACAAGTTCCAAGCCAATCACATTACCCTTCTTTGCATTTCTAAATTGGGTAAAATTTGGCTGACACAGAGCCAAGAACCCTAATTAAAGAACCAAATTTACTGATGACTTCCAAGACAAAAACATTTCATAAAAAACATTAATAAATTAATACTTGGGTACTGGACTCACCTTTCCTTTTCTAATAGACATTACAGAAATTATACGATCCTCCTGTATTAAAGAAGTCATTATTCTCTGTATGAGAACTGGTTTTTCTTCAGTAACTGATTCTCGAACACCAGGCAAAGTACTAGATAAATCTTCTATTTGTAGCAGCAACAAATATAACTGAAACAAGTTGATAGTAGCATATAACATCACATAAAATTATGAGTTGAGAGTTACATAAAATTACATTACATTACATAAAATTATGAGTTACACCACATTCCAATGTCAAAAATCTGACATCAACCAATAAAATGAAAATAAGAGAGGGGCTAGAAAATAAATTCCACAGAA